ATCACAGAATGCCAGGTTATTAGAACAAAGTGCTCTTTTGTTGAGGGAGTACTTAATAATGGTTTTTACTATGTTTTAAGTAATAGTTTAAATGCTGATAATAAGCAGTATTAATTATAAAATACTAAATTTTTTAATCTTCCATGATTCAACTTCTTTTAAAGAAATAAAAAATAAGCAACATAAGATCCCTTTCAAATGCCCCATGCTTCAACTAGCCCCTGCCCAAACTTTACTATAAAGTTAATCTGTGCTACTGTGTGCTTGCAAACTCTTTCCTAACCATATAGGTATTCTTCATTTTGATTATAAGCAGCTTCATTTCACATTGCATTTTTGACAAATTGATAGTCTCTGGCAACTCTGTCAAGAGAAAATCTACTGATGCCATTTTTCCATCAGCATGTGTCCGGTGTCACATTTTGGTAATTCTTGCAATATTCCAAAATTTTTCATAATGTTATTAAACAATTAATAGATCACAGTATAGAGAAACATAGCATTTAGATGTACCGAAAAACAAAACAAAACAAAAGGCATGACCCACAGTGTTTCCAAGGTATGCTTTTTAAATCCCTAAGGAGCAGTTTTACTCTCCTCCATGGTCCTCCATGGTCCTTATGAGTCGGAATTGAGTTGATGACAATGACTTGCCACTGATGGGAAAACAAGTTTCAGGTGAATGTAGGTCTCAACCCTGAGTAGGCCACTTCTTACTGGTGCAAATTTGACCACATAACAGTTCTTTATGCTGTATTTTAGAAAGAATCATGTCTACTCCATTGATCAATGGACCCCTGCTGGCATATGGGTTACACCTTGCACTGCTAACCACAAAATCCCTCTGAAATCACCAACCACCACCCATTCTGACTAGGGATATAATAGAAATTTTCAGTTAGAATGTAAGAAAAACATAGACTAAAATGCGTATTCTTTAAAAAATGATGAGACTTACTGGACTGATAGGGATTAGAGGACGTACCAAGACTATACCCTCTCAATACCCATTTCCTTGACAATGAAGCCACCCTTGAGATTTCCTCTCAGCAAAATAAAAGAGCAACATAAAATTAGCAATATTGTCCACAATGGGTGTGCTCCCCTAAACAGTCATCTGGAGACCAAACAGTCAACACGAACCCAGCCGCCATGTGAGGAGGCCAGGAGAGGCAGGGCGCTGGCTAACGGAAGCAGAACGAGGAACAGCAATCGGGAGAAAGCTAACACACGACGAAAACTGCAGCCTGTGTCTGTGAATACCGTGCCCCAACATTGCTAAGGGGGACCTCATGTGCCATGTAAAGTTTCACCTAGTACACAATGACATGTTCTCTAAAGAAGAATGATGAACATACTCAGATTTAACAAAGCAGGAAACCATGAGGTTTACATTCAGAATTAGTATTTGCTTTGGTAAAGCTAAAATGCTGATAGGCTGCAAGTTTGCGACTTGGGGTTGCTGGAATAGGCAAAGCCCCACAACAGTGTGTGATCGCCCTCTTGACCTTTGT